CCCCCCCCCCCTAAAGCAGCCTACACTTGACATTTCACTCACTTGTGCCACCGGAAGACCCGCCAGCCGTGCCCATCTCTGATCCTTTTACATTGCACAGGTCACCAGAGAAGTCAAACTTGCACCTAAGGACAAAGGTCAGGAGTCAGTTAGTCAGTCAAGAGATCACTTCTTTGGTCATCATTCATCATTGGCTTTATGTCAAAATACACGGTCTTCAGGAGCAGAAAAACATTTGTTTAAATTTTGGGCAGTACTTTATCTTAACACAATTTGTTTCATTCGTCTAAATCTGTTACTATTTTAGGATGAGAAATGAGGCTACGACCAATCGATGCACCTCATTAAAGTGTACAGCATAAGTGATTATCAATTTATAAATTTTTTTTAACATATCGCAATTACTCCCTAGCTCTGGCTGAGGTCAGAGAAAAAGACATAAGATCTTTTCCTTCTTACACAATATTCTCAGCTCCTTATAGAGAAGTCACAGAAAGTGGCATATTTTGTAGCTGATGAGTTTGGATTTTACGTTTGAGGAAAAACAAGTACATCAACATTATTATGATCAATAAGCGTAGATGTTCCAAAACAGTTGGGCCATCTGAGACTGATCAAGGTTGCACTCCGACCCATAAATTTGTAAGTAATTCCTAGAAAGACTTAAAGCTAAGTCTATGAACCGGTGAATTAGAAGTAAGCATTGCCGATGCATACTTGTAACAAAAGCAAACTATTGGCAAAACATTTTAATGTGTTGTATATATGCTACGCCCAGCCATGATAAAATGCATGACCGAGTACAACCAATATACAAATGCGTCTATAAACTGTTCAAGCCATCTTAATCTTAATTTATTCTTAAAATCTTAATTCATTAAGTTAATTAAGTTATCTTAATCAAGAATGTACAATACATTTAGAAGTATCCGATGTGTATGGAAAAGAAAGAAGCATATCATTATATACCCTGTTGACATGGTCACTTAGTTTAGTTTTAGTAAAGTTTTACTGCGCTGGCAACTACATATGTTGGCATGGGAAATGTTACTTCTCCAACTAAACTTTTTCACGTACTCGCAGCTGATGGTCCCATTTTGGTTCTTGGCACACTTCCCTTCATTCTCACACTGACACTCATTGCAACGCTCGCCTGTGTAGTACTTGTCATCATCACATGAACACTTCCGCTTGCCATTTACTGCAGTAGGAAATGACACACATTATAGAGAGAAGAAACAAATAAAATTTCATGTTAAGGTGGAAAGAGAAAAACTAAATATTTCACGAAAGGTGAGAGAAAAATTGAATATGACCTTAAGGGAAGTAGGACAGAAACCAAATTTGCCTCTCAAAGAAACATAGAAAAGGTTCTACATACATAAGTATATTGAAAATACAAACTGCTTTTCTGGCCCAAACGTAAAAGTAGTAATGGGAGACAAAAACTGTACATACATAATCTGGTCTGTAAACTACAACTATTAATTTAAAAAGATGACACTCTGCAAACGGGCTAAAAACACATATCGCTGAACAGGAAAAAACAGTATCACTGGAAACTCAAGAACCAGTAGTTAAAGACAGAAACAGCATCCCTGAAAAATTGAACAGCTCTAGAACTGGTCATAAAAGACAGAAACAGTATCCCTGAAAGCTAGTAGGGCCTACTAATCTAGAGTGTTGGTCATAAAAGACAGAAACAGTATCCCTTGAAGCTAGTACTGATCTACAGTTGGTCATAAAATGCAAAAACTGTATCCCTTGCAGCTATCTCCTTAAAACAACAAATCCACTGTGAAGTTTCTGACTCCGTCATACGTCACTTTTCAAAATGGCGTAAGGCGGAGTCTTATACAAAGCAGTGTAAACACTCCCTACATGAATACACAAAGAAATATACCCGCGGACAAGAAGTGGGCTGCACAAACTCACCAATGGAGCAAGTCCCGTGCTCACAATAGCCTTCACAGTTGTTGCTGCTGCTGCTGCTGCAGTCATCAGCGAGATAGGTCGGGCCACAGGAACAGTTACACTTGCCTGAGGAGAGGTGGGATTACTTGGTTTCAATATGTTTCCAAAAATGTTCAGGGCCTACCTCTTGGTCAACACAATTTACAAAATTCATCCTGTCTGATGGGGCCAATCCAATTGTTAAGGGATATAGCACAGCAGAGAGAAAGAGACATTAACTGGAAAAAAAAAAAATTCCCCATAAAGGAACGTACCTCAAATCTTTTACCTGTAAAATGGGGAGTTGTATTACGGACAACAGTCGTATCAAAAGAGAGCTAGTGTTAGCAAAATTCAATGTAAAAAAAAAAATCGTCCGGTTTATAACACAACAAAATTTTTCAGCACAGCTTTTATTTTGAAAAAATAGTGTCCCAAAAACTTAAAGTCAAAAAGGGAACTTCTAATATAATATTATATAGAGAATGTCAATCTGAGATAAAACCCTATTGAAACATTCAACATATCAATCATCATAGTAGAATCTCCACATTATGGTAGGGACGAACAGTCTCAACTGATCAAATGTAAAGAGAAGTTTAAAAAATTCCCACCCCTAACACGTGCTCATACACTTTAGGTATTTACTTAAACACTGTCAAATACTATAGGGATACACTGCTCATAGAAACATTCTAGACATAACACAACAAGATATTTCTAAAATTGACTTTCATTTGAAAAAAAAAAAAAAGTCCCAAAAAAGAAAGGTCAGATTCCCTCTTTGGGACTTGTATTAAGAGTTAGAACATTAACAAGGTTAACTAGTGCTCTTACATGAGCTGTAAGTAGATATTGTCGCATACCATAGCAATACACAGCTTAAACAAGACAAATAAGGCAGATGGCATAAATTCAAGAGTTTGTTTGAGTTAACACTTTGCCCCCCAGGGACGCCGATCGGCGACGGTAAGAAGCCGTTCCTTTTCCGCATGGGACGTCAATCGGCGCCTGTGTGATATAGCGTGTACCGCACCTGTTTACTGGTTCGTGGGGATAAGTGTTGCACACTCTGCGCGCTGCGTAGGTGGAAAGTGTTAAGAGAAGCCCACCAACACAATATCAGTTATTTAGTGCTGGGAAAAAGACGGACAGACAGACAGACAGGAAAGATAGATGTAAAGAAAAAAAGCAGAACCTACCGACACCACCCTCAATTCACACCCCCCCCCCAAAAAAAAAACCTTCCACTCCAAAAAAACTAAGATCAGACAGGACAGGATAAGACAATCATTCTCTTATAAATTTCACTCACCATGCCGCACAGGGGCCCCAGAGGCACACAGCTCGATGCAAGGGTTGCGTAGCAGACACTGTGGGTCAAGGCTGGCAAACTGGCACTCACACGACGACACTCCCTGCTTGTCCTTGATACATTTGCCCCCATTGTGGCAGTGGAAGTCAGTGCACTGCTCACAGCGCTTGCCTAGGAAAGAAAATGGGAGTCAACATCACATATTCATTTATTTGGGAAAGAGCTTTAAGGCACTTACAACACAATTAGGTCACTAAAGTGCCAAAGATAGGAGTTACAAGAGAGTAACAACAACAAAAAAGAAGGAGGGCAGATAAGGATGATAGATGTTTGTTAGGAAAGAAGTAGGAGAGACATAGTATCATTAGGTTCTTTGCATGACAAAGTCCTGAACATGCTACAAATACATCATCCAATTATTTTTTCCCGCATGGCAGCATGGAGGTGTGTCAGACAAACTGACCTTCGGACTGGGTCTGGCCTAAGGGGTTTTGTTTTAGTAGAGGTTTTACAACGCACGCAACTGCATACGGTCATATGAGTGCCAAGGGGTGGATGTCAACAGAGAAGCCCTTACAGGGAATCAGACTTACTCTGCTCCCCTCTCTAGCTTCAGCAGCAAGTCTGCTTCGACTATCAAGGCACCCCGGAAATAGCGGATCACAAGAGTGTGACAAACATACAAAAGAAGTAGAGGAAAATGACGATAGTAAGGATAAGGAAAGAAAAAGCAGCACTTCCCTGTTGTAGTTCAGGCATAGTTATGAGCATGACATTGTTAGATCAGCCCATTTACAATTCTACTGTGCACTAGAACGAGAAATGTCCCCCCTTTGGGAATGGCCTAAAGACACTTCAGTCAGTGGCACCGCCCCAGGGGGTTATATAACTGTTTCAAGATTAATTTTTATGGTTTTGTTTTTTGTTTTGTTTTTGTGATTAATGAGAAGCACATTGACACAATCATTGTCATTTAGTGCCGGGAAAGAGTGAGATAGACAAAGACAACAGAGGGATAGAAAAAACTTAGGACATACAAGTGAAGTGGTGCCCTCTCAACATTTGCATATATGTGTCACGACGCGGTGGAATCAGGCACTCATCAATATTAGGGTATGTGGAGTTATTAGTATCATCTGAAAGCCGATTTATTTGCCTTGCTTCCAAAGAAATTAATATCCATTTATCCTGAATAGAATTCAAAATATTTGCGATTGAAGGAAGTGAGGTCGCCTGGTTTCAGTGGTGAAATTTGCGAGAAAATGGTTGCCAAAGATCAATAACTCCAGTAGCTAAAAAGTCTTTGAAAACTGAAAATTGACACGTTTTGAGCCTGTAATCAATGTTTTTCGGCAAAATTCACATAAATTATGTGTTTTTATATGGACCTAACAGACGAAGCCAAAAAATAAAAATTCCATAAAAATGTCCAAACTGGCGGAAAAATGCCTGTTTCGCCAAGTTCATTATTTTGACGAGCATCTGATTTCACCACGCTGCCTCACATATAATTTTAAACCCTCGACAACTCTGGAAAAACCCTGAAACTAGCCTACGAAACCCCAAACAAACAGTGACTGACAGAAAAGCACACAACGATGAACTAAAAAACAGTGGCTGACATGCATGCACACAGCCACAGACATACAAGCACACAGTAATAGACATAGAAACAATATGAAGGAATAGTGAGTAACCTGTAAATCCTTGTGAGCACTTGCAGGTGACATAACCCCCCTTCTCGGTGACACACTTGCCGCGGTTGTTGCACACCTGGGAGCACCACTCGTCCTCTTTCCGTGCTGTCTCGCACTTCTTGCCTGTGTAGTTGGGAGGACACCTGGACAGAGAGACAACTACAGCTACAGCCTTATTTTAGTTTTAGAAAGACTTTTACATCATTTGAAAAGAAAACAGGTCATAATATAAGTGCCCCCC